TTAGGCTTTTGAACAAATGAGATAGTAATAAAAGATCAAACCCCAGAACATTTTTAAAATATGAATATGATCACTCTAGCTCTCAGTTTTTATTGGTGACAACTCAAAGAATTTGTTCCCATAATCTTTTCAGTTACGCTGTTATGGAAAATTTTGGATTTCTTATATGTCTAGATCACCCTAACTACAATAGCAGACCTCCCCACATTTCCTTGGAAAATGTTTTTGGCCTCTTTGTACATCAAAAAGACACACAAAAATTGCATGATCTCAGTTTTTTATCAATTTGCAGATCACTCATCAAGCAGACCTTCAGGTGACTCAACTTTCCACCACATGACACTGTTTCCCTTGACCACTGTCCCTCAAATCCTGCTGGTTAAAGAGCAAATTTCTCTTGGCAAAGGCTGACAGAGACATATGAGGCATCCCCTTGCTTATAGGAAATGTAAACTCTTGTAGCTTTGAGAGCCAAGGGCTGTGTCAGAGGAGAAGGTCACATACAGCACATTGAGACCAGGCACTGGGAATGCCATGGTGGGGAAGGTGATGGAGGAAAGGAGACCTGGGATCTTCAGGGAGAAAGCAAAGAGGGAGGGAGCATTAGAAAAAGCTTCAGTGAGAGTCTCAGGGCCCTTGCAAATTGAAAAATTACCCCAACAAAAGCAAAGAATCCCTTGAGAAGATGCATTTCCAGCTTTCTGCTTCTACATCAGAGCAAAGCCTGACAGTGATGTTTTCTGGGTGATATTTCAGCTGGGGACAGCAAGGGTAAATCAGAGATCAGGCTGTGTCTGCACTTTATCCTGGAAATCACACAGAGTTCTGCATCCCTTTGCCATCAGTATTCACCATTTCTTTAAGCAGCCTGCTCTCATTCAGGTAGAAGTAACAGGCTTGATACAGGAGTCAATGCTAAGTACACAGTGTGTTAAGCAACTAAGTCATAAAATCATAAAATCAGAATGGTTTGGGTTGGAAGGGACCTTTAAAGGTCACCCAGTCCTAGTCCAACCCCCCTGAAATGAACAGGGTTAGCCTTGTGAGTCATGCTCTGGCCTTAAAATCTGACTGTGAGCTGGCTGGTGTTTATAGGAACCTCATTTTTCTTTGAGTTTTATGTACTTCTGGATTAAAAGCCTCTGGCACTATGTAAAAAACTGCTGCTCAGATGGCCATCATTGTCCTAAAGAGTACAAGCCCTCCCCAACTTAAACAACTTCAGGGGCTTTCAGGGTCCCTGTGACCTTCAGGGATTTCCAGGGTGGGATGCAGCCTGTAGATTTGGACACCTAGATGTGCTCATCTGGACCCCCTGTGTCTGAGTAGAGATTCCCCACCAGACTCAGTGGGGTCTGGAAAGCCATTCAGCTCAAAGGGAGATGTCTGTGTTCACTGAACATACAAAATTCCAATAATTATATCAGCATTTAGTGTTGGATTCACTTGTCTGGACACAGAAGTCCAGTGTTAGGCTCTACCTGATGATAGAGTTTTGTCAAAGGAAACATTTGCCTTTTTTCCTAGCAAAATAAAATCTCAATTCCTCAAATTCAGCCTCCTGCTGAAAGACAGACATCAATAAAGTGCAGTTGGGTGACAAATTACTTTGACAGCTCCTCACATGTATCTGTCTGTCTAGGTATCCATCTCTATCTACACGTCAGTCAGGTTGGAGTCTGTACTGTGATATCCACAGTGTGTATATATAGATGTATGTATGTGTATATATAAAAATGCATGTGTATATATATATATGTGTGTGTGTACATATATGCATTTAGATAAATATAAATATAAATATATAAATATATAAATGTATATATATATATATATATATATGTATGTATGTATATATAAATGTATATATATATATGGGTTGGATCCATAGTGGGCTGATAGAAGAACCTCTCCAAACAGCTCCCAGCAGTGATCACAGCCCTGACTTTCTGGCTAAGTGCAGGAAGGGCATTGATTGATTTGCCTGGCAGCTTGTCTAAGCTCCCATGTGTAACTTGCTACTGACTTTAAACTTGACCATCTGGTTATTGGCCAGGTAAATTGTGGCTGATAGCCCAGTCTGATCTCCATTCCAAGCTGTGCTCTGGACAGCACAACAGTGTTGTATCTCTGCAGAGCTGCTCCTCCTAATCTCAAAGAGATCTTTGCTTTGCCTGCACATCCTATGCAGCCATACAGAAATCCCTGTGTGGCCTCTGCTCTGCAGCTGCCCTCCAGACACTTTTCAACAGCAAAACCAGGGGAAGGATTTCAGGGTCTCAACACCCACAGACTGGGAATGGACTTCTCAAAGGACTGAGTTCTTCAAAGGGCTGCAAAGCAGAGACCAGCTCTGCACTCTAGTGCATCTGTGTGGTCTTTATGCACAAAGGCAGCTGAGATCTCTGGAAAATCTGGTCACATATTTGGTAGGGCCTGAGCCAAAAGCTTAAACCCATCACTCATTCATATATGAGTCCCTTTTCCATAGTACACCGTGCTTTCAGCAAGGCATGGGAGATACTGAGTTTTATTAGGATGAGGGACTCTGGATTTTGGGTTTCCCTGTGCAGGCTGAGGCCCTTTTCTAATAGTGTAGATTCAACAGCAATTTTAGGAGCTATACACCTGTTTTTGTGGGCTAGGAAAGGCACATGCCCCTTCACTGGGCTCTTCATCCATGCAGAGACAACAGCAGTTCCTCTAGGATAAAACCAGCTACCAAGGCCAGGTGTGGATTTAATCTTGCAGGAATAAAGAATATGAGGATGCAGGCAACCCTTCTTTGACAGCAATTAATTCAATGGAGTTTGATGCAGCTGAAACCCTGGGACAGCAATAGAAGGGACCTTTAAAGCCAAAGCCCTGGGTGTGGAAGAAAAGCATCAGGGTAACTGCCACAAGAAAAATGTGTGTTTCCATTATATCTCACACCCAGGCTATGTCCTGCTAAGCTCTTACCAACAAGCATTTGGTCTGTTTCGGAGATTTTGGGACTGTGTTTCACCCCTGACCCATATTCAGTGCTTTGAGATGAAATGTGCCACAGGAGGGTCAGAATCCATTGTTATTGCTCAACAGTTGCAGAGAAGGGCTGTGCTTACCTTGACTTCTGCTGCTCAACCTCTGGACCTGCCCTCTGGGAGCTAAACAGGCCCAGCTTGGGCAGGAAGGGAGGGAAACACATCTGAGGTTTTCTGTTGGAAACCTCAGCCTGAGACCCAGCCTGCAGTCTGAGCTGTGACAGCTTCTGCCCTTATCTCACATTACACCAGTGACATTTGAAAATGCACCAAAGTTGCAGCTCTTCAACATGGGCAGCTCTGCTCTCTGCATGGTGCAACATTGCACATGGAAGAAAAAATATTTTTAACCCACCATCAAAAGCCAAGATGTTTCCAGCTGTTTAAAAAAAAAAAGTATTTTTAATAAGGCATTTGATAGAAATAATTGTCCATAGCACTTCCAAAGCAAATCACCACAAAATTCCAGCTAGTGACATGAGTGAAACAAGTACTGACTGAAGAGCTAAAAGGACACATCAAGGAGAAATTATTTTGTCACCAACTCCTGTAATTGAGCTCAGGGTTAAGACTTCAAGAACTCAACATTTTAAAGTGGAAAAAGACATTTTTCATGTGAGCTCTTGCAATGACATATTAAAATAAAAACTAAAGGTGTCATTCCTGCTACGGCAAAGATTCATAATCATGTTCACCCACTGACAGTTAAAGGACAAAGAAACAGTGAATGAAAGACACATAAAAAAACTTATTTCTTCCTCTGCACATTTAATATCCAATTCTCTGCTACTGCCAGATCACACCATGGCACTGAGCAGCTTCAGCTATGATTTGACCAGGGCTAATACAGCAGCACAGCCTCTGCTTGTGCCCCAGACTTCATCAGCAGAGCTGATTTAATTAGACAAACTCAGCTAAGCAGAATTGCTCACAGCCCTGTTTGGTGTGCAGGGTTAGGGTTATTTACTGGAGTCACTGGCTGTCTGGGGCTAAAAATTCAGTCTCAGGACTCACCATGATGCCCTTGAAGAGCACTCACAACTTTCTTAAGCTCAGAATTAAACCTTCAGCTGCCATCTAAGTCCTCAATTTAAAAATCAGGGCCACATTCTGTTCTCAGTTACCATGTTATAAGGCTGAAGAAATTTCATTTGTGTCAGAGGCTTTAATTTATATTTAATCCAATGGAAATCAACACAGAAATCCATTTTTGCATCTTTTCTCTTCCAGGTTATTTAAGTGAATCTTCCACTGATCCAAAGGGCAGAAGTGTGCACCTAACCAGCAACACCAGCAGCACAGGTTGAGGGAATGTTGTGATTAAAACAAGCAGCAGAAAAGAAAAATATCCTTGCACCAGAACTCCGAGTCTGGCTACATCAGTGTGAACATAAATTCAAAACCAGTCTCGTGAAAGAGCAAAAGCAGACATTTGTCTCCAGTTAGCTCAGCCAGCCGTAAATATTAAATCTGTTTAACAGAAACAGTGTCACTTGCTGATCCCCAGCAGCTCCTCGCTCCAGGGCAGCTGGGGATGGTAAAAGTGAGCAGAGCACCACAGAACTCACTTTTATCATGTGTTACCCACCAGAGACTTCTGCAAAGCCAGTCTGGCACTCCTGTAGCTGAATTACCCTGGCTCCTGGCAGTTCTCTGCAGTGCAGCACGGGGCTGCTTCTGTGAGGCACTGAGTGCATGCACCTTTCAGTGCTTCTCTCAAAGGTTCCACCACCAGGCACCTTGCAGGGCCACATCCTGGAAACAAACTGCACCTGCTGCAAGTGAGCAAGCGGGTCTGAGCCCTGGGAAGGACATTCACTATAAACTGTGAAGGTGTCTTTCCAGAAGACTTCTGACTTCCCTCTGATCCCTTCTCTGATGTCATCCAGGCACCTCCAAACTTTTGTACAACCACCCAGATGAAATTTTGCAGCGAGATCATTTTTGCTCTGAGTTTTCCAAGCGCTTTTCTCTTACCTGTCAAACACCACGGCTGCGTAGGCTGGCTCTGCAAAGATGACATCCCCAGGCAAGAATTCCTTCTGGGCTTTCAAACCCCTGCCTTTGCCTTCAGTTGTGAACAATTCCACTGACTCCATTCCTCCTTTGGTCATCCCAGGGACCCCAGGCTTTGGGAGGTGCGTGTCTCAGAGCAAGCCAAACCTCCTGGCACTGCTGCCAGCTTGGATGTGCTGGGAGGTTTATAAAAGGAGGGCTGGTCTGCCCCCTCCCCTGGGCACATGGATTCCCATAGGAGGGCCAGGGGGTGGGAGCAGGAGAGGCAGGAGATCCTCTGCTCAATAGCCCTGAGCTATGCAGGAATGGGACAGGGCTGGGGTTTCTGCTCCATTAGGAAAACCCTCTCCCAAAGTGACGTGGGGAGGTGTTTCTCCCAGCCACAAGAAGTTGTATATATTACAACTCAGCTTAATTTATACTCTCCCATTGGAGAGAGAGTGTATTCTCTTCCCAGGGTATTTTTAGCCACCACATGCTTCTGTCTCTCAGGAAGCAACAGCTGAGACAGTGGGATGGGGAGGGCTGGGATGCCTATTTCTGACCCCTGCTCTGCTGTCTGGCTTTTTCTAGAAATCAAACAAAGCTGCTTTATTTTTACCCTCCAAGAGATGGACAGCGAGTTCAGAGGCAGGGATAACAGAGAAACATGTGCCTTGACATTCTCAGCATCCTGTCAGCACCAGGAAAAGAGGAATTCACATCCCAAATGCCAGTGGCAGCGTGTGTACAGAGCAGCAGTGGGGAAGGAGCTGGAAGGACACCAAGAGTTCAGCACAGACTGCAGGAGCAAGCAGGACATCCTGACACTCTCACCACCTTGGATGCTCTAAACCTCTTTGAACCAGCACCTGAGAGCTGTCTCCACCTCCAGTGCTCAGCTGTGGAACAGAATCTGAGCCTCCTGAGTGGAAAAGGATGGGCCCAACAGAGAGACCAAACTCAGGAGCAGCAAGGCCCTGGCTTTACTCTCTGCACCAGTGCAAGTTCAGGGATCCCCAAGGAAAGGCCCTCATGTGTAAGAGTGAACTCATTGTGAAAACTGAACCCAGCCCACACTGCCCTTCAGCATTTCTTTATCATTCAACAGCATTCACAGGGCTGGTTCCTGCTAATCTCACCCTCCACTGAGGAAACCTGATGCTGTGTCCTGCTCTAAGCACTGTGCAGATAACAGTGATTGCAGTCCTCTTCCCACATGTCTGTGCTGCACAGGAAAATCTGCCTGGTTAACAGCAAAAGTGAGCTGCAGGGAAATAAAGAGGGAAAATCCTGTGCATCCTGTGGCAGTAAAATGAATCCTTTACATTTCCAAGGCAGTGGGAAGTTTCACTGGACTCTTTGAGACACAGAACTGCACAGCAGCTTCTGCTAAAAGCCTCTGGCAGTGTTTCTTGCCTGCAGATGAAGTCTGGTATCATAACAAATCCCTGCCTTATAGCCTGCCTGCAAGACAAGTGCCTTGTCTTGTTTGTGCCAAGCACAAGCAGGATCAATCCACAGCTCCACAAATGCAGGCTGATCTGGCTATTCATGTGGCTGGGAGCAGTATTTCCATAACCACCAGACACCTCCACTGCTCCTGAGAGGACCAGAGCTGTCCCAGAGCCACCAGCACAAGGCTCCCAGCTCACCCTGAGCAGCACAGAAAAGTCACTACAGGCAATTGACTCCCACAAGCAATGGCAATTTGAGCTGCAATGCTCTGCATGTGTGGTAGGTGATGGCAGGAGATGCTCTGGTCTCATCTCTTGTTCAGAGGTTATTCCCTTGGCTATGGGCATCTTTTAGAAGGACTTCAGCACCTCAAAATCATTGCTGATTGTTTTTTTCCTCCCAAACTCACTCAGTTTGGAGTGTGGCTACGTTGAACAGAGTCATTAATCACACCAAGCATTGTTTCTGGTTCCCAAATAACAAATAATACAGAACAGAATAATAAAATTACAACAAAGAATCCATATTTTCAAAGTAGGTGCTGGATATCAGGGATTCCTTCTTTTTCAACCCATATTTAGAGCAGTGAACCTACTCTGAGCCCCTTGAAAAAACCATTGAATTTCAGAGCCAGCTGGAGAAATTGAATTGAATTTCAGCACCAGTTTTGGAGCATGGAGCAAGGCTGAGCCCTCAGCAGGAGATTATTCTGGGCTTTGGGTCTGTCTGGATTTTGGGCTGGAGGGGTGAATGGCCCCATCCTCCCAGCAGGAGAATTAACAGCACCCTCTGCTGCCCTCTAAAAATTATCCAAAGCACGATTTTTATCAAATTTGATGGCAGCAGCTTTGGACTGTTGTGAACAGAGCTCAGACAAGCCATGAATTAGAGAGGAAAAAAACAAAAAAAGCACAAGGAAAAAAATCCCTGTGCCAAGCAGGAGCTCCTGAGACTCCTCCTGCCACTGCAACCCAGCTTTAACCACCTACAGCTGAGAGGAGGCCCTGATCTCAGTGAAGCTCCTTTTCGGAGAAAAGTGGGGGGAAATTACTCTGCTCATTCTCCTTGGGGTGGAAACAATGGGAATTCAGCCCTGAAAAGGGCTGGGTCAATGGGGCCATTCCCTTCATGAAGGGAAGGGCAGGTATTAGGCAGGTATTAGGTATTAGTATCAACTAGGCAGTTACTAGTAATTATTAGGCAGGTATTGAGTAGCTACTAGGAGCTCTTAGGCAGCAACTATTATTTACTAGGCAGTTACAAATTAATTAGTAATTTAGTAATTGTTAGATATTAGATTAGTAAATGTTAGATGTATATTAGTAATTGCTAGATATTTAGATTAGTAAATGTTAGATGTTAGATACTACAAAGTCATTACTAGCAGTTGTCAGGCACTAAGATATTATCAGCAGTTACCACAATTATTATCATATCATTATTATTATTATTATTATTATTATTATTATTATTATTATTATTATTATTATTATTATTATTTTATTGCAATTTGTTAGATTCTTCCTAGTAGTTACTGAGAAACTCTTCTTGCAGTTACTGAGCAGTTCCTAGGGCCTTGCTAGCTGTAGTAGTTACTGGGAATTACTAGACAGGTTCTTCTAGCTCTGAGGCAATTACAAGGCAGTTACTAACTAATTACTAGCATTCTCTACAATTCATTGAATGGCTTTGGTCAGTGGTTAAGCATTGACTGATAGGTTGTATAATGAAAATCAAGTTAAAAAACTAAAAACCCGCACACTTAGCAACACATAAATGTGGGCTATATTTAAAATATGTGAGACATCCATTAGCAGCAGCTTTCCCCATTGTCAGTTAATTTTATTAGTATTCTTGGGAGCAGAAATAACTCCAGTGGAATTAATCACTCCCTTTAGAAAGCTGACAGCTATTTTAAGCAGTCAGCTTTCTGGAGGAAAGTATGAGAGCTCTCCAAAAGAATATACTTGGGGAAAGTTCCAACATGGCCTTGCTATGTTTAGGTTTAAATTCCTACTTTCACACATATTTCCTAAATTGAATTGCCATGTTTCTGAACTCCAAAATCTGCTTTGGTACATTAACAACTTCAGAAGCACTCTGAGCTCCTGGAAACAGCAAGGGGTTTAGGAGTCTGAGGGTTGTGGTTTTTAACCTTTAGAGGTAGCTCACACTCTTATTTTTAGTGCAGAGCTGGTCCGGGTTTTGTCATGAGCCAGACACAGCAAGGACTGTTGGTTGTGTTTGTCAGTTCATACCTCTGCCAAACAGAGGTGTTGAACTGCATATTTTGGGTACTTTCTGGTCTGAGAATCTGTGAGAACAGAGGGTACCCTTTTCTTCAATGCAAAATCAGCAGTAACTTTCAGCTTTGGAAAGCTCAATGGCACAATTCCTGATGCTTTTATCACACAACACACACATCCTCCCTTAGGAGCATGTGTATGTTGTTTGATTAAATGATAAAGAATTTATCATTTTTATTTCTTTTTGTTTGTTTTTGTGTAAGGAATTTCTTTTGACTCAGTGTTCAAGCTAAAACCCCTTGGTACCTGTAGGAATGGAGTCAGTCTGTAGTTAAAGTCATGCATCCTTTTAAAAGACTCAATAAGTAGCTCTCAGATGTTAGAAATTACGCATTTTCCTCTCTCCCTTCTTCAGCACATCTTATTCACTTGCTGGAGAGGAGAAAGAGTTTGGGTACCAATTTACTGATTGTGTTTCTCACCCAGTATTCCACAAACCCCTCTTCAAGGGCACTGAGAGGAGGCTGGGAAATTACATTGTACAAAGTGCTCTCTTACAATCAAATGGGAGCATTTGTGTGTCAGAAAGGAGCTGGACAGAAGGACAAGAACCTTGTCTTAACCTGCCCCAGAGAGTCTGCAGAGTGAGGTGTATTTCTTACTGTGTTCTCAGGGCACAAGGAGCACTAAAACATGCCAGTGTGGAAAAGGAAAAGAGTCTATTATCCTAAGGATTCTTCTTTGGAAGGAATCAGCCACTCAGCATAGACTTAATCAGCTTTCTGCTGCACCCTGGTCAAGTTTTTGGTGTATTTGGAGAATTAAAGCACAGCTGGATCAAACCATACTCACAGAAACTGAAACAAAAAATCAAATCCTTGTTTTCTGAAACCCTGAGCTACTGGTTTCAATAAAAATCTATTGACACTTTTAAAAAGTGCAGCTTTTTTTTTTTTTCCTAATAAAATCAGAATAGCTGATTTCAGTCTGCTGCAGCACTGATAATCTGGCCCAGTTCTCATGGGTGTTATAGAAAGGAGGAAGCAGAGGACAGGCTTAGTCCTGTGTTATAGCCAAATTAATACTAATGTAGTGTTCAAAGATGCCTATGAAAGCTTGTAAATTAACTCTTGTTTTAATATTCTGTGGGGGGAAATTCTTTGGTTTTGAGTGATGAAACTAGTTTATGGAAACACACAGTGCCAGCATTAACAGCATTCATTTCCAAGCAGAAACCACTCTGGTGTTTCAATTTTGTGCATTCCCATGAGCTTTGAAAACAAAACAAAAATCACTCAAAATACATTCGGAGAGTAAGCTCACTGAGAGAATGAAAATTTAATGCTACTACAATATTGTTTGCTTGGATAAGCCTTTCACCTAACTGCAGAAATGGAAATCTCACTAGTAGAGCC